CGAAGAAGAAGAAGAAGAAGAAGAAGAAGAAAGAAGAAGAAGAAGAAGAAGAAGAAGAAGAAGAAGAAGAAGAAGAAGAAGAAGAAGAAGAAGAAGAAGAAGAAGAAGAAGAAGAAGAAGAAGAAGAAGAAGAAGAAGAAGAAGAAGAAGAAGAAGAAGAAGAAGAAGAAGAAGAAGAAGAAGAAGAAGAAGAAGAAGAAGAAGAAAGAAGAAGAAGAATGAAGAAGAAGAAGAAGAAAGAAGAAGAAGAAGAAGAAAAGAAGAAGAAGAAGAAGAAGAAGAAGAAGAAGAAGAAGAAGAAGAAGAGAAGAAGAAGAAGAAGAAGAAGAAGAAGAAGAAGAAGAAGAAGAAGAAGAAGAAGAAGAAGAAGAAGAAGAAGAAGAAGAAGAAGACTTTTCCGAAGAAGAAGAAGAAGAAGAAGAAGAAGAAGAAGAAGAAGAAGAAGAAGAAGAAGAAGAAGAAGAAGAAGAAGAAGAAGAAGAAGAAGAAGAAGAAGAAGAAGAAGAAGAAAAAGAAGAAGAAGAAGAAGAAGAAGAAGACGGAATAGAGGTGGATGATATCGAATGAGGAAGAGGAATAGGAGGAAAACGAGGAGTGGAAAAAGAGGACGATGAATATGGTGAGGATAATGATGATGGTGATGATGGTGCTGATAATGATGATGAAAATTAATTATTTAGATATTACAAAATAAGTTTGTTTTTTCGTGATAGCATGTTGTCTGATTAAACTATAATTTATGTAGGTCATTAAAACTGCAAGTCCCATTTTCCTACATCTGATGTGCCTCGGGGCAGTCCTAATGTGTAGTAGTGTAAGTATTAACGCTTTTTAATCCCTTTTGATTCATAAACTGTTCTGTGACTTTAATCAGTATTGTAGCAAATATGTGTATCCTTACTTGACTAAACCAGTGTTTCCCAAACTTTTCTTGGTTGCAGCGCCTTTTTGCAATTAAAAATTTTCCACGGTGCCCTAACCTTAATGAAAGTAGGACTATTCGAGTCTTGGTTAAATTATTAATGAAGCTTTTACAATATTTTGCGGCGCTCCTGTGAAGATGTCGCGCCGCGGCGCACAGTTTGGGAATCACTTGACTAGACAATCGTTACTGCAGCACAAAGGCAGCAGTGGCATTTGTACGAAAATATTTTTAGACGGTGAAATATTGCCAATTCCCGACACCCCCACCCCCTCCTTTCCCACGATCCATCCCTTTCAACCCCCCCCCCCCCTCCTCCCCCTTTTCAGTTGACATTTCGGAAAAAAATGGAAATAATTCTATTACAACATATAATCATTTCTCTCATGTTTGAAACACCTCTAACAGTGATTAGAAAACAAATTATGGTTAAAAAAAAACATTCATTGCTAATGTCGTTAATGAACAAGTTTTATTCATTGATCGTTTTCTAATAAACCGAGTAGCCTAAGGCTTGCCTGTCGTAACACCGATCGGGGTTCATCCCACCCCCCCCCCCCCCCCCCATCCCCCACCCCCAACGAGGAAGTGAACTGGTCACAACATCTCATTTGTAAAGTTACAGAATGTGAGAATGCCTAGATAAATCATTTCCGAACAGCAGTATTTTTTACTGCAGAGAAATCTCGATTTTGAACAATATTTTGTCTCTTAGTCGGCGTCTGTGGCTTAAGCGTTGCGAGCGAGCTTCGTAATTCCGGGCTGCTGGGTTCGATCCCAGCTACGGGCCTTTCGACTTGAGTTGGTTTCGACGTGATATTGAGAAGCCGACCGTTGGTTGAGGTACAGTGGCAAACTACTGGACGTAAATTAGCCTAGAAAACCCACAAGAGCCCAAAAATGCAACTCGTGTGAAGAAATGGACGTGATTACTGGATAATTAGAAGAAAACAAAATAATTCTTCAGGCTCAAGAGATGTGGTTTTACAGAAGATTGTTTAAAATTCACTGAGGTCAAAGTGCGCACGATTTGCGTTTTGAATGAGGCGATGACACGAAGACAACTTATTACAAGCATCAGAACGAAACAATATTACCTTTTTTTCTCTTTTGTTGGGGGGGGGGGGGGGGTAAAAAAGGGGAGGGGGTTAAAAATTGGAACTTGTTGTGACAGCTAGAAAGATTTGTGACAAGAGAGATAAAGATAACGCGAGAAGATTCTATACACTTGTTTAAAAAGTTTGGAGGGGTATCCTCACACAAACTGATAAATTCTGTTAGAGATGCTAAGTTGTGGAGATGCCTTTCTAATTATTAGTCACTTTTTAATTATAAACGATTTATCAAACCGCAAACTTTCTATTTTAGGAATTCTTTAAATAGTAGAAGTTATGAATATTATAAAAGGAATGTTGAGATTTTAACACGGTCAAGCCCAAATGTTAAAAACTTGATCCATAAGGTAACTGTATTAATACAAATGAATGCGTGTCCTCAGTTGATGCTAAAACACATGTACCTGTATTCTGAAAGGTGTTAGTTATGTTTGGTGAAGCCACAAGTTTGACATGTACACTACAGATCTGGCCCTTTCATGTGGGGTTTACTGTCATGTACGGAGCACTCTTAATCAAGACTTGGAGGTCAGTTGACAGTTCAGTTCCTTTGTCTCTTTTACTGGGATGCTTTATGTATTTTCATGATGTGGTTTATTTCTGACATATTTTACTGGGGTAGTTTATGTCTGACATATTTTACTGGGGTAGTTTATGTCTGACATATTTTACTGGGGTGGTTTATGTATTTTCCTGGGGTGGTTTATTTCTGACATATTTTACTGGGATGGTTTGTGTCTGACATATTTTACTGGGGTGGTTTATGTATTTTCCTGGGGTGGTTTATTTCTGACATATTTTACTGGAATGGTTTGTGTCTGACATATTTTACTGGGGTGGTTTATGTATTTTCCTGGGGTGGTTTATTTCTGACATATTTTAATGGGATGGTTTGTGTCTGACATATTTTACTGGGATGGTTTGTGTCTGACATATTTTACTAGGATGGTTTGTGTATGACATATTTTACTTGGTTTATGTCTGACATATTTTACTGGGGTGGTTTATATCTGACATATTTTACTGGGGTGGTTTATGTCTGACATATTTTACTGGGGTGGTTTATATCTGACATATTTTACTGGGATGGTTTATATCTGACATATTTTACTGGGATGGTTTGTGTCTGACATATTTTACTGGGATGGTTTGTGTATGACATATTTTACTTGGTTTATGTCTGACATATTTTACTGGGGTGGTTTATATCTGACATATTTTACTGGGGTGGTTTATGTCTGACATATTTTACTGGGGTGGTTTATACCTGACATATTTTACTGGGATGGTTTATGTTTGACATATTTTACTGGGGTGGTTTATGTCTGACATATTTTACTGGGATGGTTTATGTCTGACATATTTTACTGGGATGGTTTATGTCTGACATATTTTACTGGGGTGGTTTATGTCTGACATATTTTACTGGGATGGTTTATGTCTGACATATTTTACTGGGATGGTTTATGTCTGACACAGTTTACTGGGATGGTTTATGTCTGATATATTTTACTGGGATGGTTTGTGTCTGATATATTTTACTGGGATGGTTTATGTCTTACATATTTTACTGGTTGTACATTTTAGACGATATTTCATTTTTATGAGTAATTTTTTTTTTAGGTGACAGTCAATTAACAACTGCTCTGATGCGGCTGTAAATAAATTGCCAAGATTGTGACAGATTAAAGAATATATTCACGCAAACACACACACACACCCACACACATATATACACACACATACATACATACATACATACATACAAACATACATACAGACAGACAGACAGACAGACAGACAGACAGACAGACAGACAGACAGACAGACAGACAGACAGACAGACAGACAGACAGACAGACAGACAGACAGACAGACAGACAGACAGACAGACAGACAGACAGACAGACAGACAGACAGACAGACAGCCAGCCAGCCAGCCAGCCAGCCAGCCAGCCAGCCAGCCAGCCAGCCAGACAGACAGACAGACAGACAGACAGACAGACAGACAGACAGACAGACAGACAGACAGACAGACAGACAGACAGACAGACAGACAGACAGACAGACAGACAGACAGACAGACAGACAGACAGACAGACAGACAGACAGACAGACAGACAGACAGACAGACAGACAGACAGACAGACAGACAGACACAAATGAACTAATGTAATAAGTACCCGTGTGGTACATTCGTATTTGTATCCTGCACTGTGCTAGGTGCTACGTGCACTGTGTAAACGTTGTCTTTGTGAAATCTATGAAAGATTATCTGCAATGAACAAGATTTTTTTAAAATCATTGTGGCTTACAGCCTTGGGATTCTTCTATGTTGGGAACATGCCGGTGACACACTCGGCTGTGCACCTTCTGTATGAGATATGTATCTGAATAATTGCATAAACTCGCCACCCACACCCTGATTTTTCCCCTCGTTAATCTTAACCCTGTAAAAGTATCTAATATGGTTAGACTTTTGAGCTTCGATGGAGTAATAGGAAGCCAAGCGGAGACTGCATACTGATTAACCATCCCCGTAGATACTATTTCTTCTTCTTTTCTCTACTCCTGGAATACATCGCGGAATCAGAGGAGGGGAAGATGTCTAGAACGGGCCATTCTGTTCGCTTCATATATAGTACTTTTTAGTTTCTTTGATATTTCTGCGGTCCATGTTCTGCGTGGTCGACCTCTAGGTCTGTTACCGTTGTATATGTATAAAATTGCTTCCTGTGGTGCCCTGTCCGCTGCCAGTTTTGTTACATGGCCAAACTATTTGATTCGTTTCTACATCATCATCATCATCAGGTGCCTTGCCGACTGGCGTGGGCGATCATGCCTCTCCATAATCCGCGATCTCCTGCAGCATGTATCAGTTCGTGTGCCGACACACCTCCATGCCATGCAACAAGACTGTCAAGCATCTTCTCTCGTTGTCTTCCTCTATCCCTCCTTCCACAGATCTTTCCAGTGGTCACAACATGTTCTATTTTCCCTCTTCTCATAACATGGCCGAAAATGATGACCTGTCTCCTCCTTCTGATGTCAGTGATAAGTTGTCTTCGGTCTCCCGCCTCTTTTAAAACCTCTTGGTTGCTCTTTTTGGCTGTCCAAGGTATTCTAAGCATTCTTCTGTAAAACCACATCTCTGAGGCCTCTAAAAATTGTTTGGCCTGCCTACCGATTGTCCAGGATTCACATCCATATGTTAAAACTGGATGTATGTAGCAAGCAAGAATTCTTTTTCTAACTCTCAATGACAAGGATATATTGCACAAGATGTTTTTCATTTTATAAAATGCAGTTTTTGCCTGTCCAATTCTGTTTCTTATTTCAGTTATGCATCTTCCATCTGATGTTATCCATGTGCCCAGATACTTAAATTTCTGTACTTGTCTTAAATATTCACTGTATATTGAAAACAAATCAGGTGAAAGTACACATCCTTGTCGTACGCCCCTCTTTATGCTTCTTTATGTTTCTACATATAAAGTTCAAAACTGATTTTGTGTCGATTCTCCTCCTGATGTCATCGTTCGTACACTATATATAGCTTAGTACGTAAACATTTCATTTCTGTCGTCTGAAGATAGTGTCTATGTTTGACATTGATAGCAGAGCGTTAGTAAGAATATTGTGTTAAACAGTGTTCTTTTAGTGTTCATATTCACATGCTTGCATTTCAAACTGGTGCCATTTGGGCTAAAACTTGATTGGCTTTATTGCATCTTTGTTGGATTTCTTTAATTCGTTTTTATTGTTCCGTCTTTTGAAACAAACAAAAAAGAATTATCCCCAGATATAAAATCCTTCGCCTGCTTTAACTGGTGTTCATCAGTTTAGATATTGCTGGTTCTTCTTTTTCTGGAGAATTTCGCCACTTCTGTTTTGTCTACGTTGATCTTCATATCATAGTTATCGCATTCTGAGTGGAGTCTATCGATACGCTCTTGTAGCTGTACTGCTGTCGGTGGTATGATTGTCTGGTCATCGGCGAAAAGCAATTCATTAAGTAATTCTCCGATGTTGTCCCCCTCGCTGATGTTAGCTGATTTGCCAATTTGGTCGACGTATGTCATGAACAGTTGTCGTGATAGAACTCACCCCTGTCTCACTCCAGATCAAATGTAGAACTTTTCTGACATTCCTGTCTCTGTTCTAACTGTGCATTGACTGTTCAATGAATACTGCACATTGGTTACCTATTCTTGTGGATACCGCACACTGAATAACCATCCATGGGGATACTGCACACTGATTAACCATCCATGTGGATACTGCACACTGAATAATCATCAATGTGAATACTGCACACTGATTAACCATCCATGTGTATACTGCACACTGATTAACTATCCATTTGGATACTGCACACTGATTAACCATCCATGTGGATACTGCATACTGATTAACCATCCATGTGGATACTGCACACTGATTAACCATCCATATCGAAAAAATCTAATGCAGTGGCAGGACAGTGTGTTTCACAAGCCTATGGGACACAGACAAGATTGCCATCCTCTCTGTTGAGCTTTCTAATCACATATTGTACATATTTAGCATTTCATACATATTTCATGGTCATTTATAATTCTGATGTATATCAAATACAATTTTGAATTTGTTCCTAATATTTAAAGTAAACTAGTTCATAAATACTGCTCTGTTTAAAAAAAAAAAAACTGTCATTATATTGATTGCTTTCAGAATTTCCGAGATCTTCAGATCTGGAGGAGCCAGAAAACGTGTTAACTTGCCAGACAAAGCACTGCTACAACGCATGCTGCCGCTGGTAGTATGTGTGATCATCTACCTGGCCATATGGACAGGCATAGATCCTCCAGTAGTCGTTACAGAAAAAACATCTTCAAATCTGAAGTTTTTCACTTGTAGCATGTCTTGGTGGACATATGTCATGTATAGCTGTGAGTAACCAACCCATCGTTCCCGTGTGTCGTCTGGTTGTCTGTCTGTCTCACACTTTTTCTCTGTTTCTTTCTCCGTCTTCTTCTCTCTTTTTCTGTCTGTTTGTCTGTCTGTCCCTCTTTTTCTCTCAGCAGATGTTGAGGTGTCATACTGCTCTTATTATTCTAAGATTGCGTAAAATAATTATATACACATATTTTCTGATAAAATACGACATGCGGCTGTAGCCTATATTCCACAGATCATTCAATTCATCTGGATGATGACGATGCCGACTGAAATTGTAACAGTTGTCATTTCAGGAACATTCATGTAATCACAATTTAAGAACAACATCAATTACTAATGGTGAACACGTGTGTGTGCGCGCGCGTGTACGTGCATACGCATGTGTATGTATACGTGTGTATGTGTGAACGTCTGACACATTCACTATTTGAAACCAAAACTGCGTACATTATTGTCATAGTTGATCTTTATCATCAGTGGAAGCACTACTGCTACTGGCCGGAGTGTACCTCTGCTTCACCGTCAGAAAGGCCCCTGCTCATTTTAACGAGAGCAAGTTTATTACATGGGCTACCTACAATGCAATTATCTTGGGCAGTTTCGTCATCATGCTGACGTAAGTGTTTTTTCTGAGTGTTACAACCGATGTTTTTGGTTACAGTACAGCTTGTTGTAGATATTGTGTAGCAACGCTGGAAGAAGTGTCTAGATAAGGTAATAAACCCACTCACTACCTCTTACAAGCATGCTGTAAAAAAAAAAGGCCTAATTAGTAATGTGCAATTAGTAATGTCGGGCGTTTAGCTGATACAGTTTCGTGAGCAGAACCAGCTCATTACTTGTAATACATTCTTTCAACATTCATCTAAGAAACTGTATACGCAGAAATAGCCTGGAGATAAAAACAGAAACCAAAATAATTATATTATGATTGGAAACATATATACAAACAGCATTATTGTACCCTAGTGCAGATGACAAACTCGGATTAAAACCTTATGTTTTTTTTTAACACGTAAAACTTAAGAACACAAGTCTAAAATCTTCAAAGGAATCCCAAATAGACATATCAGCACACGAACTGATACATGCTGCAGGAGATGGCAGATTGTGGAGAGGCATGACTGCCCACGCCAGTCAGTAAGGCACCTGATGATGATTGTCAGTGTCCTATTACCGAATCAATAAGTGCCAAGAAACTCAACATAGACATGGAACAAATCCATGTTCCGGTTCTATGCGACAGGTATAGATATCTCTTCCCCTGTGTTAGATTTAAGAGAATGGTATTTTTCTTTGTGAATCGTACCCTACTACTTCAGTCAGAAATACGCAAGAAATCTTTTTACCAAGTTCACCCCTGCGTTGTGTGGGTTTTCCCCACATCTTGCACGAACAGCAACGAGGGCGCGCTGAAGCATCTCTGTGATAACATAACAGTGCAGCAGAACAGACAACGCATCCATCCATATCTGGGGAAGAATGATTTAGGTGGGAGTGTGCAGAGCATCTGCACGATTTTTCACTCGCACAGGAAACAACAGGTGAGCGTTTAGTCAGATTGCAACTGGTATATCAGTTGGGAAACCTTCTTTGGCTACTAAGGAAAAGGACGCAGGAGGTATGGGAAATCTCGAGTGAAGTGATGTCGGATATGAATTCATACACCATTTAATTACTGTTATATTTAAAAATTTCCATTTGATTCTCAACCTCTTTGGCTTCTCAACCTCTTCTTCTTCTTCTTTTTCTTCTTCTTCTTCTTCTTCTTTTTCTTCTTTTTCTTCTTCTTCTTCTTCTTCTTCTTCTTCTTCTTCTTCTTCTTCTTCTTCTTCTTCTTCTTCTTCTTCTTCTTCTTCTTCTTCTTCCTTCTTCTTCTTTTTTCTTCTTCTTCTTCTTTCTTCTCTTCTTCTTCTTCTTCTTTCTTCTTCTTCTTCTTCTTCTTCTTCTTCTTCTTCTTCTTCTTCTTCTTCTTCTTCTTCTTCTTCTTCTTCTTCTTCTTCTTCTTCTTCTTCTTCTTCTTCTTCTTCTTCTTCTTCTTCTTCTTCTTCTTCTACTACTACCTCTACTACTACTTCTACTACTACTACTACGACTACTACTACTACTACTACTACTACTACTACTACTACTACTACTACTACTACTACTACTACGACTACTACTACTACTACTACTTCTACTACTACTACTACTACTACTACTACTACTACTACTACTACTACTACTACTACTACTACTACTACTACTACTACTACTACTACTACTACGACTACTACTACGACTACTACTACTTCCTCTCCATCCTAACTTACAAAATGTGTGTTTCTCTTTTCTGAAATGATTTATTGTTCATGATATAGTCGCCTTGTGGGTTTGTCAGCGGGTCCAGATATAGTGTACATTTTGATGATGGCCCAGCAGCAAGTATTTGTCACGATAACAATGGCACTTATTTTCACCCCTAAGGTAATTTTGCCTCAGTGATGTGAATGTCAGTACGCAATAAAATGTTAGTGTTTGTAAATTACTATTTTCATTACGATGCTTGACAACAGTTAAAAACATTTTATTTTAGTTTGTTCTAGATGTTTCAATTGTTTTGCAAGCATCACCTTAAAAAAAAAAAAAAATTATAAATACGCAGGCTTGATAATACTGAGCGAGGAGAGAAGTGCATGAAAGCGTCCGAACAACAATCCCATTTCTGTAGGATTCCTATCACATTTAGCTTGGCAGTGCAGAGACTGGCTAGCAGGCAATGCAAAATCGGAAGTTCTAACAACTTAATTAGGGCAACTCCCTCCTAGATGATTTGATTATCTATACATTTATACGGCTGACTCTGTGTTGAGAGGCAGAAGAAGTCCATGGGATTCATAGCAAAAGTGAATAGACGTCGCTTATGACATGCCTGGCATGTGATACCAAACGGTCTAGTTTAAGAATTGAGATGGAGGCAGTTACAGTAACCTTCCGCTGTTTAGAGAACGGGCTGCACACACATTTTGTGATTATAATTTACTCACAAAGCATGTTGAAAGGGGTGGCAAAAGGTAAGTTCTCTGCAGAGTGGCAAGCATCGCTTCAGAGTTCCTGCGTAAATGGCATCCTTTAGGTATTTTATCCACGTTGTGCAAGTATGCTGAGAAACAAACAGGCAGACAAACTTGCTAGTCCTGCACATGGTGATAAATTGATGCTTGACAATCTAGATGTAGTCAGAGCTCTTTGGGTGAACAGTGAGCAGACACAAACAGATGATTATGGTCTGCAGAGAATGGTGCAGCGAGAGTGGCTAGGGGATCTGGTCGACGATCATCTCTGAGGGGAAGACCACCCTGGATCTATATGATTAAATCTAGCCTTTTTTTTTTTTTTTTAAAGATCATTCATAGATAATTCTTTCTTCTCGCGCCATCCAAGGCTTTCCTCTGTTCAGTCTACATTATCCTACCGCTGTCTGAGATGGAATAGGCTGTTTCTTTCTACGGATATTCGGAGGTATGTAACTCACCTGCAGCAATATTAGCCTGTCGGTAATAATCGGCAATTCAAGGAAATATGGCGTACACACACTATAGGGTATCTCTTGTACATCCTAGAATCACCCGCGTGTCTCCATTGTTTATGTGTCTGTGTTGCATTAGCGGACTCATGTATAGGGTGAGCATTATCTATCACCGAGACGATCAACTAAGTGCTTATATTTTGTAAGCAGAATTCTTTGTTCCATTTCACTGCTGCCTAATCTTGAGTGGATTATGTCTATTTTGGCACCTCACTATAAATGCATCTTGGTGGTCCCTGAAAAGGTTTTAAATCAAAAGTGATACCAGTGTAAGCTTGGTTTCTCTTTTTATATATTTATGGTTAATTTTTAGACTTATGGCACTGATTCTAACAATCCCATTTACCAGAAATCACCATAGAACAGCTGTTTTATCTGTAGATCTTGAGCTGTATGTTGCACCTCTGTCTATATGTAGGAACATCATTATCTTTGCCTTCTCCCGCACACCAAGCTCTTGAGGTTCATTGCTGCAGATAGTTAAATTGGTAGCCTATCCTTTACATGACGTTCAAGAAGGAACCCAAGAATTTCTTTCGTAACTGTGGTTTTCTAGGCAAATTTTACGTTCAGTAGTTTGTCATTGCCCTGATCAGTCAGCTATTGGTACCACTGTCGAAACCAATGCAAGAAAAATCGTCCCCAGCTGAGATCGAACCAGGCACCTCGGCATTACGAAGCGCGTTTGCAAAGCCTAAGCCACAAACGCCGATCTGCAATAGTACCCTTTGACTTTTTCTTTTCAGGTGGTGACTCCAACTGTTTGTTTCCCGGTTGTAATCTCCGAAAGTTTTGGTTGTTTGTCCACTTCCGGACTTGAGTCTTCTTGGATATTTCCCCGGTTTTTGAAATTGGATTATCCCCGTGTGGGTTCCGGGCCCCTATTTTAGGAAAACAAGAATTGACCCACTGCATACCTAATAAGTCGACTTATTAGGAGCTTCCTTCGAAGTCGGAGTGCATCTGCCTGAGAGGCAAGGAACCAACAGTCTGCATACAAATTAGTCAGATCTGACAAACGGATGCACATGCAACACTCAAGTTCTGGAATAGGGGGACTGCAGTCCAGAAATGGACGAACAAACAGAACTTTACAGAGTTTACAGCCGGTGAACGCGAAGAAGAAGAAGAAGAAGAAATGGGATTCAATATGTGTGCACCCAAACCTGGGGTATTGTTGCTGTTCTGATGCACTGATAGTCATCTTCCTGAAGTCATTATCACTCATGTCCTTCATAAGCCATATGCTCCTCCATCTTCTTCTTCTTTCTTCCTCTTTAGATACCTGATTTGGTGTAGACAAGGGCAGTCGTGACCTTACATTGTCATCCGTTGTTTTTGTTTTTTAACTGAATCTTTTTTCAGATTACCTAATTAAATTACAAACCCATTACCGGGGGCCTGCGCTCGAGCGAATTAAACGGTATGATACAGCACCGCCTTGTCGAGAATATATTTCTTCCCCTGGGTCACGGATACAGCCACTAATGTTGAGCCCCTGGGTCACGGATACAGCCACTAATGTTGAGCCCCTGGGTCACGGATACAGCCACTAATGTTGAGCCCCTGGGTCACGGATACAGCCACTAATGTTGAGCCCCTGGGTCACGGATATAGCCACTAATGTTGAGCCCCTGGGTCACGGATATTGCCACTAATGTTGAGCTCCTGGGTCACGGATACAGCCACTAATGTTGAGCTCCTGGGTCACGGATACAGCCACTAATGTTGAGCTTCTGGGTCACGGATACAGCCACTAATGTTGAGCCCCTAGGTCATGGATACAGCCACTAATGTTGAGCTCTAGGGTCACGGATACAGCCACTAATGTTGAGCTCTAGGGTCACGGATACAGCCACTAATGTTGAGCCCCTGGGTCACGGATACAGCCACTAATGTTGAGCCCCTAGGTCATGGATACAGCCACTAATGTTGAGCTCTAGGGTCACGGATACAGCCACTAATGTTGAGCTCTAGGGTCACGGATACAGCCACTAATGTTGAGCCCCTGGGTCACGGATACAGCCACTAATGTTGAGCCCCTAGGTCATGGATACAGCCACTAATGTTGAGCTCTAGGGTCACGGATACAGCCACTAATGTTGAGCTCTAGGGTCACGGATACAGCCACTAATGTTGAGCTCTAGGGTCACGGATACAGCCACTAATGTTGAGCTCCTGGGTCACGGATACAGCCACTAATGTTGAGCCCCTAGGTCATGGATACAGCCACTTATGTTGAGCTCTAGGGTCACGGATACAGTCACTAATGTTAAGCCCCTGGGTCACGGATACAGCCACTAATGTTGAGCCCCTGGGTCACGGATACAGCCACTAATGTTGAGCACCTGGGTCACAGATACAGCCACTAATGTTGAGCTCCTGGGTCACGGATACAGCCACTAATGTTGAGCCCCTGGGTCACGGATACAGCCACTAATGTTGAGCCCCTGAGTCACGGATACGGCCACTTATGTTGAGCACCTGGGTCACGGATACAGCCACTAATGTTGAGCCCCTGAGTCACAGATACGGCCACTTATGTTGAGCACCTGGGTCACGGATACAGCCACTAATGGTGAGCTTTGGAGGAGAATTAAACAAATTCCACTGAACCAATAGGCGAAGAAATGACGTTGGCTATTGGATAGAATACCCACTGAGAAAACCTAAGAACAGTATAACTAGAATGCCTTTGCATTGGAACTCAAAGGGGAATAGAAATACAGGCAGACCAAAAACTCTTTGAGAAGGAAGCTTAAGAGGGAAGTTAAAAAGATAGAGAGGACGTTGGGTCAGCTGCATAAAGAGCTGTTTTCCTATCCTTGCCCAGACCAGCTTTTCCGACATTAGGAATTTCTGAATGCTCAGCTGTATTTCCGGTAGGCTTTTTTTTTAATGAGTTATCATTCTCTGTGAAAGTCTCTGTGTAATTATCATCATCTTCAGTTTTCACTTCTGTCGTCAGGCATTGTGGGGAGGAACAGTTTGCAATTATTTGCTTGACGGGCAGCAATGGCTGTTGTTATTTCGTGTCAGTGTGGAAGCTCTTTAATGTCATCAGTCAATGTTCTCCTAGGGCGACCTCTTGCTTTTACTTAAGATCTTTTCATGTGTAGCGCCTGTGTTGGTAGTTGTTCTGCCTGAATTATTACTAAATGACCAAATCATTTGATCTTCTGTTTCTCAGTGAATCTGCTGCATGGTGTTGTTCCTACAGTCCGTTTGATAATATCATCTCTTACTTTGTAGATGGTTAAGTTGGCGGCTTTTCTCAGGCATCTCATTTCAATTGTGTTAATAATTAGCCTTTGATAATGTCCAAGTCTGGACTAGTAGCACCATGTTGGTATGAATATGCTATTTATAATCTGTTTAATGGCGCTCATACTTATGTTTGGGTGTCTTTGTAACGGTTTAAGTGTACTGGCTCAATGGCATCTTGTTTCTATTTCCTGATTTATTTTTCCGACCTCCAAGAATTTACTTCCTTGATATTTAATTCCTTTAACTTGCTTCAGACGAGTACCATTCAACCCGATATGTAACGGGCTTGGAATTTTGCTGACTTGCATTATTTCAGTTTTAATGATAACTTGTAATTATAACACATGATAAACATCCTCCATTTATTTTATTTCAGTTAAGCTCAGAATCGTTATCACAGTACTAGAGGCGATCGTACAGCTGCTCCGTCTTTTTATGTAGCAGTCAGCGTGGAGTTCCAATATTCGTGTCACAAGTTGTGGTCTTGTTTTAAGTAGGTTGGGTAGGCTTTTTCGCCAGCTTTTTACAATTTACAACTGCAAATCGCATTTTAACGTTCATAACGGCCATGCAGATCCTCGTCTCGTAGCTTCAGTATTTCAAAAGGCTAAACATGATCTGAGAACAACATCTTTTGGTATTCTATTTGGTTACATTCAACAGATTTCCAGGCAGACGGATCATTGCAAATTTGTCAGAAGAGTCAGATACTTTGCCACCACCGGTTTTCTTATTTTTAATGCATTCAGTGATATGGCTTTGACTGGATTATAAAGTAAAGGTGGGGTGGGGGGGGGGGGGGGGGGGGTTTGTTCACGAAGTCTCTACAAAATACATTGTTGACTATGATAGAAACACAGGTCACAGTTTTTTGCCTATAGTCTGGTGGTATTAATATTTTAGCAACATTTAGAACATTTCAGAAAATTCAAAATCAGCTCATTCTGTCTTTCATTGTCTTTTTTCTTTCTTGATATTTTTCTAAAACATGACAGTTTTGGACATTATACAAGGGTGTGAGTGGCGACAGTGTGATGTATTCGAATCATGTGATGACGATAACAGGCAGAATAAAGCCAACATTAGCTCCTGTTTCTCCGGTCTATGGCGGTAGCCTGACAGTGTACAAATCTGTGGGTGTTCAGTGTCAACCAGAGGACTGTCTTTGGAGCTCAACCTTTCAGGTAAGATTACTTCAAATGTATCTATAAACATACATGCATAATGGATACATGCTTGCATCTAGACATGCATGAATGCTTAATTACATGCCTAATTCTTAATACATGCATGCACACATTCATCACTAAGGCATACACACATCCATGCATGCACACATCCATGCATGCAAACATTCATCACTAATGCATACACACATCCATGCATGCACACATTCATCACTAATGCATACACACATCCATGCCTGCACACATTCATCACTAATGCATACACACATCCATGCCTGCACACATTCATCACTAATGCATACACACATCCATGCATGCACACATTCATCACTAATGCATACACACATCCATGCAGGCAAACATTCATCACTAATGCATACACACACCCATGCATGCACACATTCATTACTAATGCATACACACATCCATGCATGCACACATTCATCACTAATGCATACACACATCCATGCCTGCACACATTCATTACTAATGCATACACACATCCATGCATGCACACATCCATCACTAATGCATACACACATCCATGCCTGCACACATTCATCACTAATGCATACACACATCCATGCATGCAAACATTCATCACTAATGCATACACACATCCATGCATGCACACATTCATCACTAATGCATACACACATCCATGCACACATTCATCACTAATGCATACACACATCCATGCCTGCACACATTCATCACTAATGCATACACACATCCATGCCTGCACACATTCATCACTAATGCATACACACATCCATGCCTGCACACATTCATCACTAATGCATACACACATCCATGCCTGCACACATTCATCACTAATGCATACACACATCCATGCCTGCACACATTCATCACTAATGCATACACACATCAATACGTGCACACATTCATCACTAATGCATCCACACATCCATGCCTGCACACATTCATAACTAATGCATACACACACCCATACGTGCACACATTCATCACTAATGCATACACACATCCATGCCTGCACACATTCATCACTAATGCATACACACATCCATACGTGCACACATTCATCACTAATGCATACACACATCCATGCCTGCACACATTCATCACTAATGCATACACACATCCATGCCTGCACACATTCATCACTAATGCATACACACATCCATGCAGGCAAACATTCATCACTAATGCATACACACATCCATGCCTGCACACATTCATCACTAATGCATACACACATCCATGCATACACACATTCATCACTAATGCATACACACATCCATGCATGCACACATTCATCACTAATGCATACACACATCCATGCCTGCACACATTCATCACTAATGCATACACACATCCATGCCTGCACACATTCATCACTAATGCATACACACATCCATGCCTGCACACATTCATCACTAATGCATACACACATCCATGCCTGCACACATTCATCACTAATGCATACACACATCCATGCCTGCACACATTCATCACTAATGCATACACACATCCATGCCTGCACACATTCATCACTAATGCATACACACATCCATGCAGGCAAATATTCATCACTAATGCATACACACATCCATGCAGGCAAACATTCATCACTAATGCATACACACATCCATGCAGGCAAATATTCATCACTAATGCATACACACATCCATGCCTGCACACATTCATCACTAATGCATACACACATCCATGCATGCACACATTCATCACTAATGCATACACACATCCATGCCTGCACACATTCATCACTAATGCATACACACATCCATGCCTGCACACATTCATCACTAATGCATACACACATCCATGCACACATTCATCACTAATGCATACACACATCCATGCCTGCACACATTCATCACTAATGCATACACACATCCATGCCTGCACACATTCATCACTAATGCATACACACATCCATGCCTGCACACATTCATCACTAATGCATACACACATCCATGCCTGCACACATTCATCACTAATGCATACACACATCCATGCCTGCACACATTCATCACTAATGCATACACACATCCATGCATGCACACATTCATCACTAATGCATACACACATCCATGCAGGCAAATATTCATCACTAATGCATACACACATCCATGCAGGCAAACATTCATCACTAATGCATACACACATCCATGCAGGCAAATATTCATCACTAATGCATACACACATCCATGCCTGCACACATTCATCACTAATGCATACACACATCTATGCCTGCACACATTCATTACTAATGCATACACACATCCATGCATGCAAACATCCATCACTAATGCATACACACATCCATGCATGCACACATCCATGCATACACACATTCATGCATGCACACATTCATCACTAATGCATACACACATCCATGCACACATTCATTACTAATGCATACACACATCCATGCATGCACATATTCATCACTAATGCATACACACATGCATGCATACACACATCCATGCATACAAACATCCACCACTAATGCATACACACATCCATGCATGCAAACATTCATCACTAATGCATACCCACATCCATGCATACACACATCCATGCATACAAACATCCACCACTTATGCATACACACATCCATGCATGCACACATTCATCACTAATGAATACAAACATCCATGCATACACACATCCATTCATGCACACATTCATCACTAATGCATACACACATCCATGCATGCACACATCTATGCATAAAACACACACATCCATGCATACACACATCCATGCATACACACATCCATGCATGCACACATTCATCACTAATGCATACACACATCCATACATGCACACATTCATCACTAATGCATACACACATGCATGCATGCACACATTCATCACTAAGGCATACACACATCCATGCATACAAACATCCACCACTAATGCATACAAACATTCATGCATGCACACATTCATCACTAAGGCATACACACATCCATGCATACAAACATCCACCACTAATGCATACACACATACATGCATGCACACATCCATTACTAAGGCATACACACATCCATACATGCACACATTCATCACTAATGCATACACACATCCATGCCTGCACACATTCATCACTAATGCATACACACACCCATGCATACAAACATCCACCACTAATGCATACACACATCCATGCATGCAAACATTCATCACTAATGCATACACACATCCATGCATACACACATCCATGCATACAAACATCCACCACTAATGCATACACACATCCATGCATACAAACATCCACCACTAATGCATACACACATCATGCATGCACACATTCATCACTAAGGCATACACACATTCATGCATACACACATCTATGCATGCACACATCAATGCATGCACACATCCATGCATACACACATCCATGCATGCACACATTCATCACTAAGGCATACACACATCCATGCAGACACACATCCATGCATGCACACATTCATCACTAATGTATACACACATAAATGCATACACACATGCATGCATGCACACATTCATCACTAAGGCATACACACATCCATGCATACAAACATCCATGCATACACACATCCATGCATGCACACATTCATCACTAATGCATACACACATCCATGCATACACACATCCATGCATACACACATCTATGCATGCACACATCCATGCATGCACACATCCATGCATACACACATCCATGCATACACACATCCATGCATGCACACATCCATGCATGCACACATTCATGCATGCACACATTCATGCATGCTCACATCTATGCATACTCACATCCATGCATACACACATCCATGCATACACACATCCATGCATACACACATCCATGCATACACACATCCATGCATACACACATTCATCACTAATGCATACACACATTCATGCATGCACACATTCATCACTAATGCATACACACATCCATGCATGCACACATTCATTACTAATGCATACACACATCCATGCATGCACACATTTATCACTAATGCATACACACATGCATGCATGCACACATTCATCACTAATGCATGCACACATCCATGCATGCACACATCCATCACTAATGCATGCACACATCCATGCATGCACACATTCATCACTAATGCATACACACATCCATGCATGCACACATTCATTACTAATGCATACACACATCCATGCATGCACACATTTATCACTAATGCATACACACATGCATGCATGCACACATTCATCACTAAGGTATACACACATCCACGCATGCACACATCCATCACTAATGCATGCACACATCCATGCATGCACACATTCATCACTAATGCATACACACATCCATGCATACACACATCCATGCATGCACACATTCATCACTAATGCATACACACATCCATGCATACACACATCTATGCATGCACACATCCATGCATGCACACATTCATGCATGCACACATCCATGCATGCACACATCCATCACTAATGCATACACACATCCATGCATGCACACATTCATCACTAATGCATACACACATCCATGCATACACACATCCATGCATGCACACATCCATCACTAATGCATGCACACATCCATGCATACACACATCCATGCATACACACATCCATGCATGCACACATCCATGCATACACACATCCATGCATACACACATCCATTTATACTCACATCCATGCATACAAACATTCATGCATTCACACATCAATGCATACTCACATCCATGCATTCTCACATCCATGCATGCACACATTCATCACTAATGCATATACACATCCATGCATACACACATCTATGCATACACACATCCATGCATGCACACATCCATCACTAATGCATGCATACATCCATGCATACACACATCCATGCATACACACATCCATGCATGCACACATCCATGCATACACACATCCATGCATACACACATCCATGCATACTCACATCCATGCATACAAACATTCATGCATACACACATCCATGCATA